GCCACAATGCCCAGCTATTTTTTTTTGTTGCATTTTGGCCGGGGCTGGGTTTGAACCTACCACCCTTGGTATACGGGGGCCGGCACCCTACCCACTGAGCCACAGGTGCCACCCTGCAGCTCACACATTTTAAAGACAGACTCCTGCCTGATACCTAGTCAATGAGGGCATTCTGATGTCTGTTGGATGAATGGAATGAATGAAAAGGGACAAATTTTAGTCTGTTTCTGAGGAATGAAATACGTGTAACTGTATATTATAGCTCTCTTTTAATAGTTGACTCTGAAGAGCTGGGACACATTTGATTGCATCCAGAGGAGTTTGGGTTGAGACCCTGGAGAGACCCTACCCTCCTCTCTTTCAGAAGGTCATGGTCATAGTGGGGGCAGGGGGGAGGGCGATGTGAGAGAGACAGTCCCTGTTGCCTCCAAGATGTATAGCCTATGAGTTCTAAGAATGGCTCTTCACTGGGGCTCCTGTCTCTCAGTCCTTTCTCAGTTTAGTTGACAATGTAAACAGGACTGTTGAATTAGATTGATCTGGGTGTAAATCTTGGAAAGTCCATTAATTCACTAGAGTCTCAGTGTTATTTTAAAATAGTGACCAGAATACCCACCTGGATGGCCAGGTGATGCGTGCCAGGATAGTGCCGTGCTGGGTATCTGACAGTGCAGGTTCAAAACCTGTGTTACAAAATACTTTTTTGTGTATCATCTTCAGTTCTCACCAAAACCCACGAGGAAGGCAGCATTATATCCATTTTGTAGATGAGGAAATTGAAGAGCAGATCCCTGGCTCACATAACAACCTTCTGGGAGGGAAAAACAGAGTTGCCTCTGACTCAGTCCAGGGAGCTTTTTACTACAGTAGAGTGACATCAATTGGAAAATCTCCTAACTGTACAAGACAATAAACCGGAGGTGCCAAGTGCATGCACCAAAGGCATGGCTGTTGGATTACTGCGACTTTTTAGCGTAGCCAATGGTGGCTGGGTGGCTTCAGGACAGAGAACAACACTTTTTTTTTTTTTTTTTGGCCGGGGCTGGGTTTGAACCCACCACCTCTGGCATATGAGGCTAGCTCCCTACCCTTTTGAGCCATAGGCGCTGCCTGAGAACAACACTTTTTAAATAAATAAATGTAGGAAAACAGAGCCTTCTGAGCCTCTGCTGATGTCTTGAAGGCTCCAAAACAATGATGCAGATCCCAGATACTCCCAGCCCCTACAGCAGTGTATAGGACTGACAGTGCAGCCTGTGGGGCCAGCACTGGCTGTGGCACCCTGGAGGGCCAAGGAGGGGCAAGGGGGAAGGTGGAGAGAAGGATGTGTCTGTGATGAGACTACTGGGGTGCTCTACACATCCCTCCCCCTGGAATGTAAAGAGGTGGTTCTCTGACAGCTATTGCTGTGTTCTGTGTTCTTGGGGCACATTTTGGGCCCAGAAAGGCTCCTTAGTCAGGGACCCCCAAGGGGCTGAGAGGCCACATGCTGGAGTCAGAGTATTGAGTTGCTTGCTACAAAGGCAACAGGGAGCTGACATGCGCACTTCCCTCTTCCCTCCTGCGAGCGACCCTAAGACCCTTGTCTGTGCGCTCCCAGCCCAGGCAGAACTGAGGGGCCCCAGAGGTTCTGATGAACAATGCATTCACCCCAGTTAGATGACTGGAGGACAAGGGCCAACATTTTATTTTATTTTTTTCTTTCTACTGGGGCTGGGCTCTGAGAAGCAGCACTGGCACCTTGCACCTTCCCTGGATGCCCTCGTGTGATCTTCTCTCAATTTCTCCATCCATTTCCCCTTTCTAGAAGAAGAAGCATAAGTCAGGACCTTTGGAAATTGTTTCTCATCTATTCAGAATTGCAGAATAAAAACAGAATCTTTTCCCCTTCCCACCTCCAGTCCTACGGTATGACCGACAGAAATGGAAATCAAGCTGGGGCCTGGACCTGGGCCAGCTGCCTCCCAGGCAGATTTGGGGGCCCGAGAGGGTGTCTGAGAAGGATTTTGGAAGGAGGGCAGTCAGGGGTTTGGACAGAATTGAGGAGGTTGCCTTCTGAACATTTAAAAGGTAATGCTGCCTGAAACAAGACCGTGCTACTCCTTGAAACACAAAGTTAATTCTGAAATGATCTACGGGAATAAACACTTTGTAAAATGGCACGAATAATTATGGGCAGGTGGGGAAGGATATATAGAGAGTGTGATTAATTATACTAATGATATGTCCAGCAACCTGTCATCAGGTCTGATGGGATTTTGTAATATTACAAAGTTCAGCCGTGAAGCTGTCGAATTTGGAGCCGTTTCCATGCGTATGGGTGGAGGGAAGAGGGTACCTCTGTGGGGGCACGTGAAGGTCTTTTGGCTTTCACGAGTGTGACACTTGGGAATTATGAGTTCTTATGCCAGAAGTTTAGGGGAAATTCCATCATTCCACATGTTTCTGTACAATTTTTTTTTCTGGTGCATGCTTGCTCCAGACTTAAATACATGTGTGTTGGCCCAAGTTCTACTGACTATAAGTGTTGTGTTGTTGCTAATAGAGCCTTTAATTTATTGATCTAATGATTTTAGTCCCATTATCTTTATTATGGTATAAGTGTTAATTAAAAAATTAATTGTGGGGTTTGGCGCCTGTAGCACAGGTTATGGTGCCAGCCACACACACCAAAGGTGGTGGGTTTGAACTGGCCCGGGCCAGTATAGCAACCACAAGTGCAACAAAAAATAGCCGGGCAAAGTGGCAGGCGCCTGTAATCCCAGCTACTTGGGAGGCTGAGGCAAGAGAATCGCTTAAGCCCAAGGGTTTGTGGTTGCTGTGAGCTGTGATGCCACAGTACTCTACTGAGGGTGACATAGTGAGACTTTGTCTCAAAAAGAGAAAATTAATTGTGTGATTATCATATATGTGCATATAAAATTTATATATCATTTTATAATTTATATATTTGTGTTAATTTCTTTAGTTTATGTGCCTTTTTTTTTTTTTT